CGGAGGCCTGTGATGGCCGGCCATCAGCTCTCACCCTGAGCAGCTCCGGCACTAGAAATGACCCCCCAGGCATCGTTGGTCAGCGCCACTGGGGAGTGAGTGTCAGCATGGCGCACTCTTAAAAACACCTAAATGAACGTGAGCAAAGTTATCTTTATCTTGGCTGGGAAGGCGGGACTCCTTCTATTTTGGACTCTGTGCATGAGAACAAGGGCCGGGCATGGGACGGCCTATTGGAAACCCCTTTGTATGTTTTTACTGTAACAGACGCTCACTTCTGGAGAGAGGAACATGTTTAACGGTCACCCGAAAAGACTCCGTGGCTACAGCAGTACACAGGCACTCAGAAAGGCATGTGTGTCGTGGAGGGAAAGACTGTGTGTGAGCTTCCTGATTGATGCCTCTCTGTTTCCCAGTCAGACTGAAAGTCCTTTCAAAAGGGTTTCTATCGTCTCTAAACCTGCAGATGCCAGAATCCTTTACCTTGTCCTTTTATGGTGGTGATGGATTTAGAATCGCTCCAGTTGCCTATTCCACGGCTCGTCACCGCAGCCACCTTTCAAACGAGAGCGCGAATTAGTACGAAACACAGGCAATCCACCGTACGGCAAGACTCCCGGGTGAGCCAACGGGGTGAGGCTCTGGCAACGAGGGTGGAGGGAAGTATATACAGAGGGCTCCCAGATGGTCAGAAACCCCCGCCACCGAAGCAAGAGAGGGAAAGAGACCACGGGAGGGAACCTGGGGAACGGGGATCGTGACAGCGCCGAAATGACTAAATTTCTAGTGACGGACAGGTGTCAGGGTTCTTCTCGAGGGCAGGGGTGGAGGGGGCACGTGCGTCCATGTATACGCGTGAGCACGCAGCCACGAGACCATCAGCGTGAGGGAGTCTGCGTGTGCACTTAATGGTCTTAAAAGACGCTTTGCACAAAATCTGTCTCTGTTCTACTACAGACATTGATAATATGTTTCATAAGAGCTCCACAACATCAGTTTATAGGTGCCACTCATCGTAGCTCTGCATCTTGCTGCAGCTGAAGATGAACAGAAAAGAGGTGGGTACCAAACGAGCAGCAGCTGGAATGCCCGCCGAATACCTACATGCTCGGTTATGGCAGGGAAGCCGGGTTTCAAGTTCTCTGTGGCACTGGTTTATGAGACTGAAAGAAAGGATGACCTCCCAGGGCGAGGGGCTGGGGAACTGGCAGACCACGAACAAGCATCTTGTGAAGGCAAGCACGATCTCACGGGAGGACAACCATCTCCCCACGTTCCAAGACCCCCCAGGTGGCGGAAACACGGGCGAACACTCACTCTTACGGTGTACTGAGCATTCACCAGCAGGTTCCTTATTTCCGTAAAGTTGCTCTCCACCCTCTGGGAGGCCCACATCTTGGAACCACTTCTGCTATATTCTACCTGAAATGAGAAGGGAAAAAAAAAAGTGAGCAATAGGTCAGCCAAGGTCTGGGCATCCTGACACCTGATTATCAGGAGGCAGGCAGAGGGAGAGGAAGGCGATAGGAAAAATGATCCAATGGATGGATGATTATTTATAAGGAGACACCAAATCAAGTCCTCGTCATACAGAACATGCTTCTGCCCTGCCGGACCCAGAAATCCCCTCCGCTCACCCACACGCACTCCCGGAAGGTACTTACAATGTACTCGCGAATGAGGCCGTGGGTGTGGGCGGGAGGAGCCCAGTGGCCCACAATCACACCTTCCGCTTCCCGGTGGAGTGACAGCTGGAGGTTTTGAGGGGCGTCTGGCACTGGAAAAGAGTCAACTTGGGGTTAAAATCCATCTGCATACTACTGGTCGCCTGGAGGAATTTCCCTGAGCTCAAAACAAGGACGAGACAGACTTGGGAGCCAACAGTGGGACCCATTCACCAGAAAGGGCTGTGAGCGTGGTGTTCACGTGGGCAGAACACCTTTCCTCTCTTCCAGAATGCAAAGCATGCTGTCCGCACATCCGATCGTGGCTTAGTGAGTCTGACGTAGCTTTGGGGCTCATGAGGGCTGCTGGATGGAATCACTTGAAAAAGCTGAGTCACCACTGACCCTGGGCCTTGGATGCTGAGAACTTAATTGCCCAGGATGGCGTCTATGGCCTTGAACTCTCCCACAACCAGAGAACCATGGGCATGACTACGAAGAAATAAGACTCACTTTCTAACAGCACAGACTCCTATATTCAAATGAAGGGGATCCCCTTCAGAGCAGGCTCCTTAATGACCTCTGTGCCGGCATTTCCCAGACCCTTTTGCAGCTTCCTTTTTGTGGCTGCCTTCAGAGCCAGGCTGGAAGCCACACACAAACTTCATTTTGTCTACAGAACAGTTACTCACATCGCTAATCCACAGCAGACGAATGCTACAGGTTGAACCCCCAACCCCAAATTCAGATGCTCAAGTCCCCCAGTACCTCCGAATGTGTATTTGGAAATAGGGTCTTAAAGAAAGGGAATTAAGTTAAAATGAGATCATGGTCCTTAACCCAGTATGATGGGTGTCCCTATAAGAAATTAGGATGCAGACACACACAGAGAGGGAGGACAAGGTGAGGACGCAGGGAGCAGACGGCCGTGCAAGCCAAGTAGAGAGGCATCGGCAGAAACCACCCTGCTGACACCATGAGCCTGGACTCCCAGCCTCCGGAACTGTGAGGAAGCCCAGTTCTGTGGTTTGAGCCCGCTCAGCCACTCGGGCAAGTGAACACAGTGACTGTCCATCAACAGTCAGTGGCCCGCACGCCCTCTGAGGGCAGGAGCTGCGTGTCCTCCACCTCCGAACCTCCGGCATCTAACCTACTCCCGGCACGGGCAGGCGCTCCGCTACCGCCTGTGGAAAGAAGAGCTACAGATGTGCTGTTGCAAAGACAGGTCCCTGGTGTCGAGGATTTGGCCGAACTACTCCATGAAATCGCAGCCTCAGCATTCATCTCATTTGAACAAGCAGCCTGAGGGGGCTTTAAATTGCCATCAGCTTCCAAGCAAGCCCTAGATCCCAGCCTGCAGAGTCAGAGTCACAAGAAAGTGCAAAGTCCTACCGTGACTTCTCCAAGGGCCCTGGTGAGGAACAGTCTCCCGGCCTCCCGGGGCCCTCCCCTCGTGTGCTCCTTAGGTAAGACCCCCAAGTTATCAAAAGCCCTCTTTTTTGGTTTGAACTGACCAATCCCAGCCCTGACCCAGGAACTCCAAAGCCCTCCGCCCGTAAGCCCTAAAAGAGGCGTGTGCCCCGGGCCCAGCCTCCCTCTCCCCGCCTGCAAGCTGCCCTGACCTCCCGTGCGGCCCTGTGAGGTACGCAGGACCCCCTCCAGGACCCGGGAGTAATAAACCTCTCTATTTCAATTTCCCTGGGGGGCTTTCATTGATTCTCTGACACCCCAGGGCTCTAGTGAACAAACGTTTTAACACACAGTCCTAACACGTAGGTTCTTATGTGTTTGCGTATCACGTCCTTCATCTCTGTCAGACCAGATGCTCCAGGCTCATCTTGCAGATTTCCTGCCCCAGGACTGGAATCAACCATTTCTTCAAGAAGCCTCGTTTGCTTTTATTGAAGAATGGCATTAGAAACGCGGACACAGGAGGAGGGTGTAGCGCAGTGGGAGAGGGCACGTCTGACACGCACGAGGTCCTGGTTTCAATCCCCGGGTCCCCCCACCAAAAGTAATAAATGAATAGATAAACCTAATTACATACCCGCTCACAAAGAAACAAAAAAAAATGTTTTTGAAGAAACAAAAAATTTTATGCTTTGTTT